CACCCACCCTAACGGTACACTGTTACAGATGAACCCGCCAACCCCACATGACCAGAGCACACACCCATCCTAACGGTACAGTGTTACAGATGAACGCCAACCCCACATGACCAGAGCACACAGCCATCCTAATAGTACAGTGTTATAGATGAACCCGCCAACCCCACATGACCGGAGCACACACCCATCCTAATAGTACAGTGTTATAGATGAACCCGCCAACCCCACATACCCACTATGCATGCTTTATAGCCCTAAACTGCGTTTTTGTTCATAGCTTTAACTAATGTATCTTAAGCTGGTAAAATTATACATATTTATCACGCATGGCATGATGTTCTGAAGTACATCAACACTTTAGCATGGTTTATTAAATCTAGTTCACTAATATGGACACTGCCTAACAGCTGTGGTGTAGGGGGTTAAGAAAATTAACATCCACTCACTCTTGTGGAATTTTCCAAAGATATACACTGACAAGGCTTCATCCCCAGGGTGGTGTTATGAGGATCCCCCAGGAGGTGTTTAAGTCACTAGGACGATACCCGTGAAGGAACCCTTCTCCTTCCTGACTGAGAAGTAACTGCTCTGCCCACATGCTCCTGCCGCCTGCCCATCCACTCAACCCAAGGGAGCCAACCAGTCATGGATGGAAAACTTGCAGAGTTCTGGGCCAGAACAGCCACCTCTCTTCATAAATGACTGTCTCCAAGATCTGTCAGTGACGGAAGCTGGCTAAGACAACAGCCACCACTCTACCTCAACACCACTGTGCGTTCTTTGCCGACCACTGTAGTGGATTGACTGACACACAGAGCAGGCTGCATGGACGTTTTTAATTTCCCAGGGTATATAAAAGCTGCATTCAACTCTGCAAAGGTTTACTGAGGAAGCAAGGACATCACGTCTCACTGTAGAGAGCGGAGGAAGCCCTGAGTAAGTGAAGTTCTGTGTGAGCGGGCATTGCTGGACTCCAAGGCCTTGGACTCATGGGAAATTGGCCATTCTGTTACCCAGAAGAACAAGGCTCACGAGGAATGGCGACAACTGAGTGGTACAGCAAAGACCAGCAGCTGCAGCTTCTTCCTCCTGGTGCTCACGCCTGAGTCTGCTCCTCTTCAGAGAGCTCCTGCCTGCACAGCTCAGCCTCCTCCGTGAGCCCAGCTGACACTAGCTTTACCATGCTGTGTCTGTCCTTTCCTATTCTGCTGCTGCCCCAGCCAGGGTTCCAGGACGCCAGGGCAGCCCACTACGCTATCTTAGGTGATGACTGCTCATAACCACCGGAACCTTCAGCAAGGTGGACTCCCCTACCTGGGACCTGGCTGACACCTAGGGTGGTGGCAGCTGCTCATGGTCACAGTTTTTTAGAGACAGGGTCTTAGAGTGTAGCTCACTGTGTAGACCAGGCTGGCCTCGAGCTTGCAGTGATACCCGACTCTGTTTCCTTTCTTAAAGGCGCAGTGAGGGGAGATTCCCTCCTTCACTGAGGCCTGCCTGCAGGGCTCCCTTTCCAGCATTTACCCACAGCAGGGAGGGTTGAAACCTTGCTAACTGCCTTCACAGCTAATCCCGAAGTTTGTGCAGTCTCGCCAGAATGTCAGTGTCTTCATCAATCAACGGAAAACTTCGCCTCCAGCTCCCACGAATGCCCCATCTTATTTTATATTGCTTTCAAGGTGGCACCTTAAAACATATAGGGCAAAGAACGGCTAGAGCAAAGGGTGAACGCACACCAAGCCAGAGGCCACTGTTCTGTAAGATTATCTACTAGTTTGTGGGTAAAAGCACTTGCTGGGCAAGCCTGACGACCCAAGTTCAATCCTAGATCCCAAGTAGAAGGAGAGAACCAACCTCTGACCTCCACAGCATGCTGTGGTTCATGCATGTTGGTTTACACACACACACACACACACACACACACACACACACACACACACACACACACACACACACACACACACATTTTAAGACATCCAAAGAACTCGAAGTGGCTGATTCACATAGTATGAGGGAAACACGTCAGGACGACAGTGACAGAGCCCCATCATAGCTGACTTTTAAGAGCCCGCTCTCAATAACTGACAGAATAATCAACGACCTGCGTCAAGAAACAGAGGCGGGCAAGGGAAGAACAGCAACAGAGAGTGGAGTCGCGCTGCAGTGTGGCGCCCACTGTCCCACAGCACGGGCAAAGGTGAGGCACGGCCCTGCTCAGAGCCTGCCCTCACTCACAGGCAGCTCGCCGGGACTGGACAGCAGTGCCCTCAGCACCTCGGAATGAGCCCGTTCTGGAAGAGCGGCACTCCCCTGCCAATGCCAGCACAGTGGCATCCACAGCAGCCCGAGTTCTCCAGTCACCACAGCAGCTTCAAACTGAGCTGACAAAATCCAGCTCCGAGCTTGGAAACCTTTACTCATAACCCATCACAGTTTTCACCAATAAACATGTACTAAAGTGTTATTAAGTTCCCTGTAGCCTTAAAAGAGACTTCTTTCTGACTGAATTTCATTAGTGAAACTATTAATACAGCTGACCACATCATATATAAACTACAAACCTAGTACCTATAAAAGACTAAATGTAATATTGTATTTTAAAATGTATCTTGTTCAGGACCATCTCCCATCTTCCCATTATTTCATCTTCCCACCGTCTCACCATTTCATGTAGCCTTGTA